GATAAGAAGAAAATCAACTTATTTGAGATGTAGTGCTGGAGAAGAGTGCTGAGGCGAACACGGACAGCCAAAAAGACAAGTAAATGGGTCCTTGGACAGATCAAGTCTGAATTCTCCCCGGAAGCCAAGATGACAAAACTGAGGCTGTCGTACTTTGGCCGCATCATGAGAAGGCAGGACTCATTAGAAAAGACAATAATGCTGGGAAAGGTGGAGGGTAATAGAAAGAATGGAAGAGCGCATGCCAGATTGTTGGACTCAATCAGGGAGGGCATGGGACTGAATTTGCAGGAGAAGAGCAGTGGGGTCTTAATAATAATAATAATAATAATAATAATAATAAAATTTATTTGTATCCCACCCTTTGGGAAACCCAGTCAGGGCATCTCACAACAATAAAATCATACATAATAAATCACAACATTCTCACCCACCCCCCTTAAAACAGTATTAAATCAATAACAAATTAAAACACATTTAAACAATTTAAAAACACATTACATTACATCTTGGAGATCTCTCATTCACAGGGTCGCCGGAGCAGTTAACAACAATGACCTTCAAGTCATTTCTGACTACTGATGACCCTAAGGAGACCCTTTCATGGATTTGGGGGTTGTTATATTTTGCTGAATATGTTTTGCATATATGATCATAATAATAAATAATAATAAAATGTATTTATATTTTCCCGCCTCTCCTTACGGATCGAGGCGGGAGCACAAAGATAAAATGTACAACACTGTACAATAATACAATATGTAAAACATGATAATAAAAACGACAACAATAAAAACAATAATAAAACAGCAAATAATCAGTATAAAGACTGACATTTTGTTGGAATCGTACTACATGAGGACAGTAAGAGGATTGCTTAAAGAGAGAAGTCAAGTGATTTCAAGAAGTGTGCCCACCTTGAATTTGAAGTCAAAAAGTGATGTGGGAGGGACGTTGTTGGTTCCTATTGGGCCATGGGCAAATTGGGGAAAATGTCTTTTAACAATAGGTAAATGAAACTACTGATACGGTTCATGAAATAACTAAACTATCTTAAATAGAGACAAAGGCTTTTTATTACACTACGTGGTAGAAGTATTTAAAGACATGTTAATCTGTTTCTGCATTAACATATATAGAGGAATACTGTAGCACCTTTGAGACTAATTGCCAAAAAATTTTAATGTAAGTTTTCATGGACTCCAGTGATGTCCACGACTTCTTTTTCTCAGTCTCAAAGGTGCTACGGCATTCCTTTGTATATTTTTATCATGCTATAGGTATTTCTTTCAGTCACCCCTTTTTCTTTGAGCTGAAGTCTGGAGAGAGGTGGGACGTTTTCACACAGGCGGCTCTAAAGCCGCCTGGAAGCCCCCTGGAAGCCATCAGGAGTCATTCCGGCGGCGAAAACAGCAGCCGCCGGAATGACTCCTGATTGCCTCCGGCAGAAGCGCCTGTAATTCCTCTTTTAAAAAGGAATTACAAAAATGGGGCTAAAGCCGGCTAGCGGCAGGGATGGCGCAGGGATTGCGCAAGATGGGGCGGGGCTTGCTGCGACGTCGTGTGAACACTCGCAGCAAGACCCCGGAGTGAGGCAGGGATGGCGCAGGGATGGCGCAGGATGGGGCGGGGCTTGCTGCGACGTCGTGTGAACTTATCCTGCACAGAGCCGGAGTGGGGCCGGACGGAGGTAGGAATGACTCCGTCTAAAGCCCCGTGTGAAAACGTCCGTGGCATGCAGAGATGTAAGACTCCATAGTAAATTTAAAATTCTCTTGACACATAATTTTATGGTTCTAAGAATTTTGGATTTGCAGGAGTGGATGAGGAGAGTAGGGAAGAGAACAGATGGTGGGGAATGTTTTGTTTTTGTTTATAATAAAAAATATTGTAAAATCTGCAAAAAACTATTAACAATAAATTCTCAGCAAAGATCATAATATCCTATGCATCTTTGCAAGAATTCTTTCTTATACTACATGAGAGAATTAGATTTAAAAGAGCTATTTTTAAAAAGCAAATATATATTCCTACTTCTGCAATTTTACATTCAAATTACAGCCTTGAGAACAACAACAAAAATAATATAAACTTCCAGGAAAAACAAAACGTACACTACATACCAATCATTAAAATTTTAATCCTAGCCATCAAAAGCTGTTTAGCCAAAATAAGAAAGCCCTGAAAAAATACCCTTTGGAAAATGCTGAATAGTTGCTGGCATTTCACCAACTTTTACTGTTTGTTCTGGAGTGAACAGGCTCTCTGCTTCTAACACTTGAAAACCCAGCAGATTCCATGCAGATTTAGGCACATCTAAGCCCATAATCATTTTGAAATTGTATTTATGCTCACAATGAAAGGCATGTCCGGGGCTGGATGGAATGAGGTTTGACTCAATGATCTTGCCAAAACAAAAAAGCTGTTTGGTGTTTTCCAGTCTATGGAACCAAACAAAAATTTGCAAATATAATGCAAATATTTGTAATGCCTCTGATGTTTTAAAGAAAGACACATGCTTGCTTTCTCTATTAAGTAGACAATTAGTTGGTGTTACAGTAATGAAAGAGCTAGAATATTTCTGTGACAAATCATCCTCAATATTAATTTCAAACTGGAAATTTATTTCCACATCAGAAAGCAAAATCTGGATATACATTTGGCCCTTGGTATCTGTGGGGATCCATTCTGGACCCACCCTCTGTGGATACCAAAATCCTCGGATATTCAAATTCCATTGACCCCAATGGTGGCACATGCACATGGCCGCATTGCCATTGGGGACAATGGAACTTAATGGCTGCACAGCCACATGCACTTGCTGCCATGGGACAATGCAGGCTTGCCATCCGCAGATGCTTGAACCTGGATACCGAAGTCCATGGATACCGAAGGCCGACTGTAATAAATGTGAATATTATAGTGTCAACAAATATTTCACTCTCAAACTATCAGAATATTTAAAATATAAATGTACAGCAAATTGTGAGATCTATTCAAAGAGAGGGAGAGAATATTATGCCAGAGACATAGGAACAGAAAGACAATTTAGCTTCTTATTTTGGTCAGGTGAATCTACACTGTAGAAAAAATGCAGTTTGACACTCTAACTGCCATGTCTTCATCCTACAGTGTCCCACTAAATTCTAATTTTTACATGAGTAGACATATCTGGAAATGCACTTTTACTACTCTGATCTTTCTTATGTAACTGTGAATATAATCTGTTAGATGTTGCCTCCATATTGTTAGTTGGTATATACTTATTGGTGAGGAAGTTGACCTTCACAGAGCTAGCTGAAAACATATGGCTTAAAACCACTCAAGTAACTTGACATATGAGGCAGAAACTCACAAGTTACTCCTTCCTACTCCTAGCATAGAAATAAAATAATACCAAATTAAACCACATAGAAATAAAATAATATCAAATTAAGCCACTGACAATTTGCTGTCCCTGCATGACGCCCCAGTTCTATCGCATGAGGCAATTGCCTCATTCTTCCTAATGTCTACCTTGGACCTTTCTCATAAGATGAATGATATTTTCCTATATATGCTTTGTAAGTAACTCAAGTACTTCTTGCTGTCCTCCAATGTGTTCTGCAAAGTGGGCTGTTATAAGTCGAGAAAGACATTTTGCCAGTTTACATGGCAATGTTCTAGAAAGGTTAACTCATTTCACTGTCTAGTGCCCTTATGTTTGGCAATTCTTTGCCTCACTGCATATGAATGTGCTGTTGCATAAACCTTGTCCAAGAGTGCAGAGCAGGGAAAGACTTGAAAGCTTAGCAAATACTTCCCTTACCACACATCTTTATGAACAATGCATAAAGTATCAAAGCAATCCAGCATGTGCAGAATGGGATGCAACACAGAACCACCAGCAAAAATGCAAAAAGCTAAAAGACAACCAGAGCATAACCAAATGGGTCAGCCAAGCAGACAAGGCTCTCAATAAAGTTGCTGGCATAATGCTTTCCATGTAAAATTTCTCATGCTTTTGCATATTCAAGACATTGGCATTGTTCTAAATGAATGATGCTCATATTCCATTTTTTGCTTTTCAGTTTTGCTGAAGTTTAGATGCTTGGATCTAAAATAATGAGGAACGGTACCCTCATTTCTGGTTGGCTAATTCAGGACATTTCTTTATAGGTTGTTCTGTAAACAAATAAACAAAATAAGACCAACATTTTTTTAAAAAAAAACTTTTTTACTTTGGCTTGATGTGTTAGGATGCTGCGTTCTCATGCTTTGCAGTAAATTCTCCTGTTTAGGAA